ATCTCACAATTCCCCCTTTGATCTCTTTTCTCAAAGAGATCACTTACAACATACACTCTAGGGTTGCAATGTCCACGTCCCCTTGGTCCTCAGGCCCGTCCCTCAACAGAGGCATCATTACCCCGGGCCCTCCGGCCCTGAGGCTATGGCCCTGTCAATGAGACGTACTACAAGCGCCCTGAGGCAAGGGATGAAACAGCATCCACATGTTGTAAGAACTGCAGTGAAAACAAACAGACAGTGAGACCATAATTGACATAACAAAACCTTTCCATTGCCCAAAAACAGAAGTCATCCACTCTTCCAGCTGGTTTTCAATACCTGAGTGTTCATGCATATGGTGGGCCAGAGTTCGCAGCCCCTCCAGAGCCTTGGTTATCGAACCGTCTGGAGCAGTATTATTAGGAATAAAAGTACAACACATTTGTCCGAACATAGCACACACGCCCCCCTTTTCCGCCAGGACCATGTCAAGCGCCATCCTGTTTTGTACTGCCATCAGAGAGGTGGGACCTAATTGCTCTGCTAATCCCTCAATTCCATCACGCGTCAAATTGGCCAGCCGGAGAACGTTATAATGCACATAATTAATTCTATCGACATTTTTGTTGGGGGTGACAGGAAAGAAGGCCGAAATTATGGGGATGTTTTCAAAACCTGCTGCTATCTGATCTACTAATTTGTACTCATTTGGGACACCTCTTGGCACACCTATAGAATCTATGTAAGTGGGTCAGTTAGCGGTCAAATCAAAAGACCAGGATGACCTCTTAAACAACACATGACGTCTACGCCTAATCGTGAGTTGTGCATTACCATTTGTCGCCGTGGGTTTAATTTTCTCCCCGATTAACATCAGAGGTGCTCCTAGTCTGACCATAGCGCAGACACCAAAAGCTTCCTTTGGTATGCGTATGTGCAGACTCACCCCTCCACAATAATAGTACAAACCAGCCCGAGCCCAAGTACCAACATTCGTGATGCCCGTACGCGAGGCATCCCCTCTTCCTGGATACGTTACCGTACACCAGTCAGCCGGGATCTCTCCAGCGTCATACTCCTGCTCACCCGGGCTGCCTACTGTAAAATTGAAACAAGTGTAATTAGCTTTCCGAGGTGTAAACGGTCCTGGCACGGTATTATTATCTATGGGAGGAAACAAAACGGACAAAGGAGCACATTTCCCTGAAGATACTGCTCTACGAGTAAGTCTAATCATACAATCAAAACCCCGGGGGTCCTCTGGATACAGAGGAGCTGGTTCGGTAAATAAGTGTGGGCGTGCAGTAGCACATGCCACACAATCAGACACATTTTGTTCCTTTTCATTCGCGATCAGCCAATCCAGCCACAGGTTGCTATCTACATATCCTGTGGCACAAGACATCAGCTGCCTAGGTTTCAATTGTGTGTAGTCCACCTGCATTACCTTAGACACAGATGGAATGTCTCTCACGGTCGTGGATGCATTCCCTGGTGGATCTTTAAAGTTTATTTTTATCACACCCATTGGGTCTTTGCCGGGCACCTCTACCCCCAACAAAAAGTAAAACGCTTTATCTGGTCTACCATGCCACTGAGGCGACTCCCACCACCCTCCAATGGACATTGTAATTGGATTGCGACAGTTGCTATAATCACGCTGAATCTCGAACCCCTTCCACCTCCGCGCATGCTTCCAACCTGGGCCTGTGTAGGCCGTCACCATCATCCAATCAAGACACAGGACACGCCTCAAGGCGGTAGGACGGCCTTTCTCAGATTAATTCACTGCGTGTTGTGCCCAGGGCTGGACTGGGACAAAAAAATCATCCCGGGCATTTTGACTAGAGACCAGCCCCCCAGGTATTGTAGGAAAAATCATAAAGCCTTTTAATGAAAACAAACACTGTTGTGACAGTGATGTACACCGTCTTGTTGGTATGATTTCTATACATTTTCCATCAGATAAAAACTTAAAGCGAGACATTTTTAATGAGAATAAGAAAGAAAAGTATGTGCCCCCCTCTCCCTGTTAATGCCCTGCCTGGCCCCCTGGCAAAACTTTGCTAG